AGTGAAAAGTCCCTTGAGCACGAGCAGCAGGCCGAGCCGCTGATTTGGCTGACCCGCAACATCCAGGTTCATGTCCTTTCCCACCACAGTATTTTTGACAGTTTGCTGAGGACGTATATGGATGCTTTCGAAGAACCTTTGGAGTTGTTCTTGGTTTTTGAAAGCCAATATTGCACGCCTCGGGCCATATTTGCCGGAGCCCGATTTGGAATAGAACGGAGACAACAGGTCAAAGTAGTGCTCGGTTCAACAGCAGAAGTCTTTGACCAAGCTTACTTGGAAGACCACGGAGCGTGTGCGCTAGGGTGACTCGAGTAAGTGGAATTCATGTTAGGAAATTGAATCCTTATTTTCTGCCACTCGTGTCGACGTGTGTGTACATGCATGCCAAATACATTTTTTTAGGAAATCGAATCATTATTGTTTGCCACTCGTATTGTTTTGACATGTGAGTAGATGAATGCCACATTCACATAAAAAGCAGAAATTTTCGACCGAAAAGTTTGTTTTTGTAGTTTTGGCATGATAACGTGCAGAGAGTTTAACGATGGCTACCTGGCCACCCGCCTGTATGCGCATCTTTACACAGACATCTCAAACCGAGTTCACGATAACGTTTCTTCAAATAACGAAACAAATTGGTCGTTAAAACGTTACGCTTTGTGACTCGTGAAACTTTTCGGTTTTACGGTATCAAGAGCATCCAGCCGTGCACAAGTGTGTATTCTCTGCTTCAGGGGCACTGCTATGGAGCCGGGGGCCGGCCAGCAGCAAGAAACAATCGCATCACTTTGGTAAGGTAAATAAAGAGTGACCACTTCCGTTTCCGGCTGCTCAGGACTCTCGGTCTCAGGCCCTCGGACACATCACGTGGTGCTATCCGTGTTCATGTTGTACGTCCCCGGACTGCTGTAATTTCCCAAATTTTCGGTGTACTTTTATTTTCGGTACTTTCGCGGTGCGTCTCTTTGATACCTAAAATTTCAGTACACTGAACAAACACTAGCACACATAATCCAACTGGGATCTGCTTCTCCGCACCTAAATTTTCTGTTCACCTAACCTGGCCTTTTGCCCTCATACTGAAGATATTGAGCACCGAAAATTTCTGAAATTAGACTGCTTTAGAGAGTTGTAACGTGAGAGTGCAACGTTGCCAGCTGCCCGTATTTGTCCGTGTTTGCGCGGAAATTTTGTCCGCAGTACGGGATCTGACTTGAACTATCATCGTGATTACCTTGCTGATTTCCATTTCAAGATTACGAATAGTGAGCGACGACTAAATATAAATCATTCTTCCCAAATTTAAATCATTGTCTAAGTCTCTCTTCATGTTCCGAACTGCTATTCTATGGACCTGTTACCCCCCCCCCCCCCCCCAGTCTAACATCGGAAGCCTCGCTCTATAAGTTCAAAGCTGCCCTCAGGAAATTTACAGCTAACCATGCTTATGCAATCAGCGGAATTCCGCCACCTTGCAGTTGATTTCCCCCATTTCTCTCCTTATCAATCCCTACTTGTCTTTGTACATACTAGTAGTAGTAATGTTCTTGCAATCAAATGAACCCCTCGATAGGCATATTGCCTTTGGGTCATTTCATAATAATAATATGCACTGGCACTTAAGCGCATACCCTTTAGGAGCTGCATCAGCGCCTTGATCCATAGAGGGCGGTGGCGTTCCAACGGATGCGGAAAGCTCGGCCGCCAGCCGAGTCTCGCCGGAAACCGTGAATGTTTTTTTAATTTTTTTTAAAGAACTCAGATGGTGAGCGAAGGAAAAAAATTGTATCATGGAAATTGTGGGCACAAGTTATGCGATCGAGTCCACCAACTAAACCAGAATTTGAACAGTGGAATGTAGCTTGTGCTCTTCTCGATGGCGATCGCCTTCCCCTCTTTGGAATTAGGGGTCGTCCGTAATTATCGAAAAATTAAAAAATCCGTCCTCGTGCAAAATTGTCTCTGACCCACCCACCCACCCACCCCCCATTTTTCCCATTAATTTTTTGATTTTTACCGATGCCCAGCTCGAAAATAAGAACTCCTGACCCCATGTTCACTGATTGCACCTACATGTACATGTATGTCAAGTACTAGTAGCTAAGTAAAGTGAGTAGGAGGTCTACCGACGGCCATGCACGTCCTACAACTACATGAAGAGTCATGTACTGGTATAATTATCATACTACAGTTGAACATCGATTATCCGCACATCGACTATCCGACCATTCGATTTTCCGTAACAGTTTTTTTGGGCGCACGTGCCGTAGAGTACGCACTGTGCATGTAGTGAGCCATTCAAAAAATACGAAAATTTTGAAAAGTAGCACTCTATTCTATTTACAATGTACATGTACATGTATTTACAGTGTGTTTTCTTATCCGGAACATTTGCCTTATCTGAACACCGCCTGACAGTTGTCTGCCCAGAGGTGGTCGGATAATCGATGTTCAACTGTAGTACCAAGAGTACATAACCCCAAGAGTGTGCAACTCCAGCTATGGGGTCTGCGACGGCAGAACTTCACATCACGTGATGAACCCGTACACATTATTTGCACTCTGTGCATGATTGATACAGGGTTGTACGAAACCCAGCTTTGGGTACGACTCTCTTGTGATCACTTTGCACTGTTTTCCAGTGTAACCGTTTTGAACCACGTCACGTGATGTGGAGTTCTGCCGTCGCAGCACAGCATAGAGGTTGTGCAGGCAGTTGCACACTCTTGGGGGTATGTACTCTTGCTAGTACTTAATACTAGTGTTTGCCATCCTACACTACATGTACGCGTGCAGGGATGAATTTATCCGGTATCGCATCGCAGTTTGCTACGCAAAATCACAGTGACACGTAGAAAACTGCGATACATACACATCCAGGCTATCCATGCTTTTTGTAGCCTACGCCACAATTGAGATTTTGCATAGCAAAAACTGCTATGCAAAAACCTGACAGTAAATTCATCCTTGGCGTGTACGTCTACAGTGCACTACAATGTCATGTCAGTGCAACAAGTGTATGAAAGTCACTGAAGAAAAAAAGAAGAAAAAAAAGGTACGAAAAATCAAAAAAAATAAATTCCGCCAGCGCTCTTGACCACCCACCCCCTTTCTGCCTGAGGACGGGTTTTTTTAATTTTTCGAAAAATCCGGACGACCCCTTAGCACTAATATCCATGAGCCTTCCAAGTTGGAAGCCCGTTGGTTAGCGCTATCGAGCAGTGCTCAAGCTGACTTTCATGCCGTGGAATGTCTCAGTACTCCTAGTCAGTCTTGTGCTAGATTGTGCACGTCTGACCGTGTTAAATCTGGTTTAGTTGGTGGACTCGATCGCATAGCATGTGCCCACAATTTCCATGTTACACTGTTTTTATTAAAATGGAAGCACATCTGACTGCAGAATCCCCATGGCGCCACTCACCAGATCAAGGTGTGGGTCCGCTCCACTCAGTAGAGTTGAGTCGAGCGAGCTGTAAGGGGCGTCGGAAGGTATTTTAGTGTGGTACGGCGAGCTGTAAGGGGCGTCTGAAGGTATTTTAGTGTGGTACGGCGAGCTGTAAGGGGTGTCGGAAGGTATTTTAGTGTGGTACGGCGAGCTGTAAGGGGCGTCGGAAGGTATTTTAGTGTGGTACGGCGAGCTGTAAGGGGCGTCGGAAGGTATTTTAGTGTGGTACGGCGAGCTGTAAGGGGCGTCGGAAGGTATTTTAGTGTGGTACGGCGAGCTGTAAGGGGCGTCTGAAGGTATTTTAGTGTGGTACGGCGAGCTGTAAGGGGCGTCGGAAGGTATTTTAGTGTGGTACGGCTAGCCATCTAAAATACAGTTTACTCGTGTGGGGGGAGGGGTGGCTGAGCCGAAAATTTCGGAATTTAGAGCCCAGATGAGTTTATTTTATTAGTTCAGATCAGTGCGTCACAGTACTGTGGTGCACGCGAGTGTGTCCGCATTTCGCATTTCACAGGTGACCGCGTTTTTCAAGTGTCCGCGCATGCTAAAATGCACACAGAATCAATGGGACTGCGACGAGCCGTCCTCGCTTTGCAGGTGTCCTCACTTTTCAGGTGTCCTCACTTTTCAGGTGTCCTCACTTTGCAGGTGTCCTGACTTTGCAGGTGACCTCACTTTACAGCTGTCCTCACTTTGCAGGTGTCCTCACTTTGCAGGTGTCCTCACTTTGCAGGTGTCCTCACTTTGCAGGTGTCCTCACTTTGCAAGTGTCGTCACTTCGCAGGTGTCCTCACTTTGCAGGTGTCCTCACTTTGCAGGTTTGCAGGTGTCCTCACTTTGCAGGTGTCGTCACTTTGCAGGTGTCCTCACTTTGCAAGTGTCGTCACTTCGCAGGTGTCCTCACTTTGCAGGTGTCCTCACTTTGCAGGTGTCCTCACTTTTCAGGTGCCCTCACTTTTCAGGTGCCCTCACTTTGCAGGTGTCCTCACTTTACAGGTGTCCTCACTTTACAGGTGTCCGTTTTTCTCAGGTGTCTGCAGGAACAGGCTGGACTGTATGTCTTCATGTTCTGTGAAACACCGCGTTTAAAAAAAAGTTACGGTTCTCAAGAGATTCGGCTGGAGACCAAGTTTCTCCATCCGTAGGATTGCCACCAACCTCAAGGATCAAGGCGCACATGCAGCTCGTAAAGTCTGTCTGTGTGTCTGTCTTTCTGTTGTTTGGCTGTCTGGCTGTCTATCTGTCCTGCTGTCCAGCTGTGTGTCTGTCCGTCCGTCCGTCCGTCCGTCTGTCTGTCTATGTGCCTACCTGCCAGCCTACCTGTCTGTCTGTCTCTCTGTCTGTCTGTCCCTATGTCTGTCTGTCTGTCTGTCTGTCTGTCTGTCTGTCTGTCTGTCTGTCTGTCTGTCTCTGTCTGCCTACCTGCCTGCATCCCTTTCTATCTGCCTGTGATCGGCCGCGAAGCTGACTATACGGTTGCGTTGTTAACCTTCTGCTGCGGCTGCTCTGCTTGTTTTTTTTGCCCTTTGTGTTCCATCGTCACCAGCAGCAGCATCGCTGCACGCAGTGTGCAGCACACGAGGCGTAGTGGCATGCAGTCGTCAACACCGGGACCGCTGCCGATTCGGCCCATGCCGATGTCGTCATCGCCACTGCTGCTGCTGCTACTGGCTCTGTGCAGCACAATGTCTGCCGGCACCAGCGCCGGTCTTGTGCAGCAGGCAGCTACCGCGGCGGCACCAGCACAGTCCTCACTCGCTCAGTCGGGCATGGCCGTGCCTACAGGTAAGAATACATGCCTTACCGTCCCTTAATGTGAACAGTAGACATGCTTAGCATTTTACCGTTTACGCGCTAACTTCCAACGTCGGCATGTACCATCTGTGTGTGTAGGTTGCGTCGAAACTCCGAGAGTTTCACACTAAATCACGAACTTCAGGCATGTTTCAACTTTCAACAACATGCATGTCTTAGTGCGAGTTCTCACGGACAAAATTTAAAATTTAAATATTTTCTTTACGGTTGATGTGTTTGGTTTGCTTCCTGCCTTATCCAGATCTACTTTGTCCCATGAAAGTTCCTGTCGGCAGCGAAGCCCCGGGAAGCCCGTCTATGCGTAACGTGTCCTGCAACCCGTACGGAACGTTGCAATGCATTGGTGACGGCGGAGGCTGTCACTGTCGTGGCAACGTGACTGGCGGGCACTGCGAGCGGTGCGCGTCGGGCTACTACGCCGCCAACGGCCGAGCGGACGGCTGCGCCCCGTGCTCGTGCCCGGCAGGCCGTGTGCGCAGTCACGCCGGCGGCTCTGGTGTGGAGTGTGACGCACGCACCGGTCAGTGCGCATGCACACCTCCCTACCAGGGTGTGCGCTGCGAGATCTGCGCCGTTGGTTACCGCCCCACTCCCGTCACCATCGTCGGCAGCCCTGGCGACTCCTGCGTTCCGTGCTCCTGCGACGCAGTCGGCACGACGACGACGGCGGGATCATCACCGACGGCGACGATGACGTCTCCGTGTCACGTCCAGACTGGACAGTGTCCGTGTCGCCGTGGATACCAGGGTCTCGGCTGCCAAGATTGCGCGCCGGGCTTCCACCGGTCGACCGTCGGCGGAGTGTGTACGGGTGAGTTTAGAGAGATACTGTAAAACGAGAAAATTTCGGTATATTTTCGGCAACTTCAGTACAAAATTCAACTCGGCACTCGCTGACTGTTATGTACAAGATTTGGTTACGTTGGTGGACAGTTAGTCATAACTCGTAACATTTTGAACTTCAGTACAGGTCATTTTTACCTAAAAATAAAACTCGACCTAAAATTCAACAATACAGTCAGACCTCGCTTAACCGCACACATCCGTTTTCCACAAAAATGTCCGGATAGGCGAGGAAACTGGATAACCGAACACCAGTTATGTAGGATGCATTGCGTATGCTGTAGATCTGTAACCAGCTATTTTCTTCCGGATAGCGAGGGATCCGGATAAAAGAGGACCGGATAAGCGAGGTCTGACTGTACTGTAAAAGCCATTATTCTAACGCGGCGCATATATAACGATTTCCCAAAATCGACTAGTTTACGTGTACCAAAGGTAACGATTCTCACTCATTCTCAACGCTCAATAGGACAGTATATGTATCGATTTCTGTATAACGATTTCTATTTTAACGACAGATTTCTCCTCGTTAACTCGTTAGAGTTAGCACTTCGTTATATATATAATATTATGGCTTTTACAGTACCATTCCACGCAGTGTGCAAAATGCATTTTGGATCTGAAAAACTGGTTTTTACGGAAATTTTTGCTCTACCGAACCGGCGATTTTGGGAAATACTGAAAATATTACACCACCAAAAATTCCCGATTTTACACTATATCCTGGTTTGACAGTGCTGATGTGCGACTACAGTCCATTTCAAAACTATAGACGCGTACCTAGGCAAAAACCGTTATGCCAGCATCTATACCACATGAAATCTGTGATCACTTTGTGAATAAATCTTTCCAAGTTGGGCGTCTGTTATCCAATCGTTTAGAAACTATATGAGAGTAATTGTGAAGCGGACCTGAGCAATATTCCGAAAACTGTTCTCAAAAAGTTCCAGCCAAATTTGATTTCAAAAACCTACGCGTCTATAGTAATTGAAATGGACTGTACCAACCTGAATCTGTACGTCCTCCGCTGAATCTCTTACAGTCGTCCCACGTTAATCCAGCAGTTCATAAACAAGCACCCTCTATAAACCAGGGTGATTTTCAGCAACCAAAATGTCCTTTTCATGCACATTGCAGCAGTAAATCAGATGTTGTAATCCAGCAACCTCCCTAATCAAAATTTCGGCCGCAACACATTTTCGGCCGCAACATGACCAGGCCGAAAATAGCCGAAAATAAATATGCGCCGAATATTTGTGTTGACTTTACATTATCTGGACGTTCTGATTCTCCGAACATGTACACACGACACGATATGCACGGTCCAAATCAGTGCTCATATTGTCACGCAGACTTGCCATATCCACTGAGTGGGTTCGATTTTTTTCCCACGAATCAATTCATGAATCCGTTCATGCATCGTCTCTCGTTATTCACATCATCCCATGTGAATAGGGTGAATGGATTCCGAACCGGTTCCAGGGCTCATCACATACAATCGAACGACGAGATTCCATTCATGAATCGGTTCATGGCAGTAATCGAACGCACCCACAATAGACACACAGTCGGGGCCTTCTGAATTAGCCGGTGCAGTGTGATTGCACGCGCAGAGCTGACCGGTACAGTGTGCAGTGACATTCGAGCTAAGCCGTGCTCATCCAGCCCCAACCACCCAGTTGAACGCAACATGTAGACTTGACAACTGGAGTGGACTGATGTTTCAGCTCTAAAAACTTTCGGAACTGAACTCTCCTCAGCCCACGTACCCATAAATGAAACTTTGTTTTGTTTCGTGAAAAAGATTGATAGAATATGGACAGCCCCGATAAGTCATAATTATTTGAATTGCTAGGATTCCACTTGTACTACCAACATGCAGGGTCAAGGCCGCCGCATGTTGCCGCATGTTGTACACAAAATGCTACATAGTCCATAACACGGACAAAAGTCGTCGAAACAGCTGGATTTGCGGATATTCCGGAGAGCTGACACTACAAAGACTCACATCCCTACTTGCTCGTACATGTCATGATATATTTGCGGATGTCAAGCTACACGCCTGTCTGCTTTTTTCCGGCCCATTCTGTGTGTGTGTGTGTGTGTGTGTGTGTGTGTGTGTGTGTGTGTGTGTGTGTGTGTGTCTCTCTCTCTCTCTCTATCTATCTATCTATCTATCTATCTATCTACCTCACACTCTCTCTCCCTCCCTCCCCCCCCCCCCCCCACCCCACTTCCCTCTGTCCTCTTCTCCGCAGCCTGCAATTGTTATGTTGCTGGGAGTACGAACATCACCTGCCCTAGCATCGCTCAGTCACCTGCAGGATCATCCAGCCAATCCCCGGCGGTGACAGTGGGCCAGTGTAGCTGCAAGCCTGGCTATACCGGTGGGCAGTGCAATGTGTGTACGGAAGTGAATCACTACCTTAGTGCAACTGGCTGCCAGCGTAAGTGATGGTTTGTGTTTTGTGTGTGTGTGTGGGGGGGGGGGGGGGGTAGGGGTGCATATGTGTGTGTGTGTGTGGGGGGGGGGGGGGGGGGGGGGAGGTAGGGGTGCATATGTGCGTGTGTGTGTGGGGGGGGGGGGGGGGTGGTTGCACATTTGTGTGAGTGGGTACTGTCGGGGGGGGGGGGGGGGGGGGGGTGCGCACATGTGTGTGATGCGTTGTATGCGCGTGTGTGAACACAGATTTGTGTGTGTGTGTGGGGGGGGGGGGGGGGGGTGTTGAATAGGGGTGAAACGAACGAACAAAAGTTCGAATATTCGTTCGAAAAATTTGAAAACGAACGAACGAACTCGCAAGATTGATAAACGAACACAGCAAGCAAGCATAAAGCCTTAAAGGCCGGTTGTGACTAGATCACGAAGGAGCCGCGGAGGTTGGGAGATCGCGAGCTTGCACGCTGATCGACTGCGTCTGCCTTGATGATCACTTGAAGCAAGTTGAAGGAGTTGAGTGTCGCGTCGGGACAAAGTTTCTTGAAATATTTCTGTGTGTCCGTTTGAGGTAGATTTGTACTCGTAGTGAAAGGATTCGAGTCGCTTGTGACATCTGTTCCTGAAAGCAAACGTTCACTCGTGCAAAACGTTCGAGCCTTTCATCGCGGTCCGGAGTTGGAGCGGAATTTGATAAAGTGGTCGGGAAAGACGAAGTCCTTTTCTCAATTTCAAAAAGGTTCTATCACACAGCAGAGCGACGACGAGAAATCTTCGTACCCACGTCAAGAAGTACCGTTCTCCTGCTCTGACGACCTGAGCTAGCGATGAGAAGAAAACTCTCGTCCGGACAATGGTGATGGACTTCGCAGCTAAGCTAGCTGCAAAACCCTGTGATTCAGCGCAGGTGGGCGAGATAAAAAAATATATTTCTGTTCTGGCAGTGTATCATGCGGTCACTGAGCATTCTCACTTTCTGCTGGGGCAGTGTTTCTGGCCTCGCGCGTTCTAGAGCTAGCTTACATGTAGATGTACATGCATGATCACAGTGTTTGTTTAGCATCACACCGTCAATACTGAACTGTGGCCAGCCAAGTACAGAGAACGCCTGTACTGACAGACTGTATGGTCTTCAAAACAATTCATCCATGAAATACATAATGGAGAATGTTCGTTCGAGTTCGTTCGTTAGTGTGAGAGTTCGTTCGTATTCAAAATTCGATGTTCGTTTCACCCCTAGTGTTGAACATAATAACAGGCACTTCAGTCACGTGACAGGACCTGTCAAAATTTGCTAAGGTGAGAGTGCGTACTTGCGTGGCACCAGTCAAGTGCATGCGCAAAACTGTACAGGTACGCGCTATGCTTCATTGTACGGGCTGATAGTTGGGCGCATCGTGTTGCTCTGACGTTCAGCTTTCAGTAGATCCCGCATACGTCATAGTACGTACATTTTTGCGAGTTGTAGATCACGTACACTTCCAGCAAAGAGTTTTTTCACAAAGAACTGTTGTTTGTACTGAAAGCCAAGTTTTGACACGGTTGCGCTGGAAGGCCTACTGATGTTTACGAACAATCAAAAGGCACAGTGGCTGCCGGAGAAACCCTCTGATGAAGGGATGCTTTGATGTACGCAGCCAGGCATGCTTCACCGAAATTTCAAAGCTCGCCAGCAGGCAATTCATGACTGCTGCATGGAGCAGTTGAAGGAGAGGGAGGCAGATATCACACCATGGAAAGAAGCTACCAACAGAGGTCCTGAGGAACTTCTTGCCAACTTGGAATTACTTGAAGTGGCATGACTGTGGGCACGAATGTCCTGTGCAGTAATTCGCACGCGTACTTACCCTCCACTTTGCGGTGTACGGCGTACAACGTGGAAGTTCTCTGTTTTTGTGCCAGAAGAATGTCTTTATAGGTCTTACGCTTTAGTACCAGCAGGAGCCTGCCGGTGTGTCGTTATCAGCTCATTTCACAGCAAACTGAAGCTGTTACTATGGGTTACTATGGCGTTGCTATGGGTTACTATGACGTTGCTATGGGTTGCTATGGAGTTGCTATAGTGATTGCGGTCACAATTGCCGTATTATTGACTATTCTGAACTTTGATCTGTATTGTTTCGATCCATACACGGTTGTTGGTGTAGGTGAGTGATGTGTGCTTGAAAAAAACACTCTGATGTTTTGTGACTATATCCACTGATAACACTTCGGAGATGCTGAACACATAATGTGTGTGTGTGTGTGTGTGTGTGGTGGGCCATGGGGGGGGGGGGGGGTGAACATATATGTGTGGGGGTGGGGGTGGGGTGGGGTGGAGTGAACACATAATTATTGTGTGTGGGGGGGGGGGGGGGTGGTGAACATATTATTATGTGTGTATGTAGTATGTAGGTATGGGTATATGGCAGCATGGTGGGTGCACTTATTCCCGATAGGGACTGGGACTGCTGGGCCTGCTGTCACCACCCTGAAGTGCAGCAAGGGCAGCGGACATTCCTAGTTTGAGCATTCGGAAAAGGATCCGAACAATCGCGTGTATTCCTCCGCTCTATTGTGACGATGATTGATTGATTTGTGCCAGTGTGCGAACTCGAGCAAGATGGATACCCTTATGGCGTCCCTCCTTTGTCTGCACCTGGTCCTCATGCACAGTACAACCTGTAAATAAAGACCACCATGACTAGCCACCAACCTGTAACTAAAGACCACCATGACTAGCCACCAACCTGCAACTAAAGACCACCGTGACTAGCCACCAGCCTGGTACTACAGACCACTTCGCCAGGCACAGGCGGTCTCACATTCATATAATTTATGGTTGTGCGGTGCAAACCTCTAACTAAGGACCACCTGCCACTAAAGACCGCTTTCTCTGGCCCCAGGGGGTGGTCGTTAGTTGCTGGTTTTACTGTGGTGGTTGTGCGCTGCAAACCTCTAACTAAGGACCACCTGCCACTAAAGACCGCTTTCTCTGGCCTCAAGGGGTGGTCGTTAGTCATAGGTTTTACTGAACTCACTACATTGTTATGAGCGCATGAGTGGGATCATTCCAAGTCCACACAGAGGTTTAGGATTTCAGATGGGTCAGGGAGTGGCACAGTTCAATAGCATATTCTCTCATCTTTCCAAGACTCCTTTTTGGACCTCTCCCTCTGTTTCTGGGACACCCGGCATGTGACCAGTCTCCGGCAGATATACTGTACAGAGTATAATGTGTGTGTGTGTGTGTGTGTGTGTGTGTGCATGTGTGTGTGTGTGTGTGTGTGTGTGTGTGTGTGTGTGTGTGTGTGTGTGTGTGTGTGTGTGTACGTGTGTGTGTGTGTGTGTGTGTGTGTGTGTGTGCATTTGCGCGTGTGAATTTGCGTGTTTGAATTTGCATGTTTTTTGCTCGAGCACGCATGCGCGTGTGTGTGTGTGTGTGTGTGTGTGTGCGTGCGCACGCGCGCGCACGCGGATGCATGCGTGTGTTGACGTGCTCAGGCTTTCGGTACGAATCAATCTCGAGCAGTTTCGTTGCGCGTAACGTGCACCTGACACCCGGCCTTCGTATCGGATCAGACTACCGAGAGTACAATAGTCTAAAGGTAAGACTAAGATTACCATTTTTTGTTCGTTTGTTGTCGTAGTGAATAACTTTGTTACCCGGGCAATCACAGAACATGATGTCACTGGCCTAACTCTCTTATACGGGCAATCACAGAACATGATGTCACTGGCCTAACTCTCTTATACGGGCAATCACAGAACATGATGTCACTGGCCTAACTCTCCTATACGGCCAATCACAGAACATGATGTCACTGGCCTAACTCTCCTATACGGCCAATCACAGAACATGATGTCACTGGCCTAACTCTCTTATACGGGCAATCACAGAACATGATACCACTGGCCTAACTCTCCTATACGGGCAATCACAGAACATGATGTCACTGGCCTAACTCTCCTATACGGGCAATCACAGAACATGATGTCACTGGCCTAACTCTCCTATACGGGCAATCACAGAACATGATGTCACTGGCCTAACTCTCCTATACGGCCAATCACAGAACATGATGTCACTGGCCTAACTCTCTTATACGGGCAATCACAGAACATGATACCACTGGCCTAACTCTCCTATACGGGCAATCACAGAACATGATGTCACTGGCCTAACTCTCCTATACGGCCAATCACAGAACATGATGTCACTGGCCTAACTCTCCTATACGGCCAATCACAGAACATGATGTCACAGGCCTAACTCTCCTATACGGGCAATCACAGAACATGATGTCACTGGCCTAACTCTCTTATACGGGCAATCACAGAACATGATGTCACTGGCCTAACTCTCCTATACGGCCAATCACAGAACATGATGTCACTGGCCTAACTCTCTTATACGGCCAATCACAGAACATGATGTCACTGGCCTAACTCTCTTATACGGGCAATCACAGAACATGATGTCACTGGCCTAACTCTCCTATACGGCCAATCACAGAACATGATGTCACTGGCCTAACTCTCTTATACGGGCAATCACAGAACATGATACCACTGGCCTAACTCTCCTATACGGGCAATCACAGAACATGATGTCACTGGCCTAACTCTCCTATACGGCCAATCACAGAACATGATGTCACTGGCCTGACACAACAACCAAAGAAAGAGCAAACTATAAGAGAGCCACACCTGGCAAGCATCCCGATCTGGCCGGGACCGTCCCGATATCGAGGGTGCTGATACCGTGTTTCTACAATTATAAGTCCCACTCGATTATAAGTCGCACCCCCGTTTTCAGGTTTGAGGCAAATTGTTTCAAATTAGTCACATCAGCAGGAAGTCATATGCAGTCAATTATATGTCGCACCCCCGCCTTTGCTCTTGAAATTTAGCAGGGGCGTCGGAGACGGTATGGTCACTACGGTATTGACCGTACCACTTTTGCCCCAAGTATCCCGTGAATCAATAAAATACACGGATCTGGACTCCAAATTTCCAAGAATTTCGGCTCAGCCACAACTCCCCGCGAGTAAATTGTACTTCAGATGGCTGACCGTACCACACTAAAATACCTTCCGATGCCCCTTTTTAGTGTAAACAGATGCGACTTATATTCGAGGAAATACGGTATTCACCCAAAAGTGCATTAACATTCTACTCCCCATGCTAGAGTATAGAATAGACACACACGCGTGCAGGACGCGACACACCAAAAGACACAAGAGTGAGTTTGGAAGAATGGGAATGTCGGGCAGAGTAGCTGGCCTCAATTGAGTGCGCGTTAACGAATCGTGTGGTCGGCCTACCGAGGGCAGGAGCTGTATATGACCAAGTGGGTCGGCCTGCGCTGAGCAGGAGCGGTTTGTGACCCATGCGAGTTGGTGGGTCGGCCTGCGTTGAGCAGGAGCGGTTTATGACCCATGCGAGTTTAATAGTAGTGCGCGAGAGGCCAGTTACGGAGGAGTGCCCATGCCGACATTCCCATTAGGGCCAGAGGAGATAGCGGGTGATAACAGCCAATATAGATGGTAAGTATGCATTGCACAAGAGCGTTGTTCTAGAGGCATAAAGTCAGACTGATATTGTGGAGTAGGATCGACAGAGAACGCTATCTGCATCCTAAGTGAATGTCTTTGCACGTACTCAGTGATCGGCTGGACCATGGTGTCAGGCCGCTCCGCAGCTGTGGGAGCAAAGGTCCTGAAGGCATCCATCTTGTTCCGGGACAGGGCATCAGCGATGGTATTGGAAATTCCTGGCAGGTGCGATGCTCGGATCAGGAAATTGTGCTTCACACAGATTGAGTACAGGGTGCGGATGAGTGCCTTGACTGCAGGAGACCGGCTCATGCCCGTCTTCAGGCACTCCACGACAGCTTGGTTGTCGCACTGAAACTCCACACGCAGCCACTCGATCCCTCATGTGGCGCAGGCCATGACAATGGCGAAGAGCTCCTTGTAGGTAATGCTTAGTTCCAGTTGCTGCGGGGACCAGTCACCTCTAAACCAGCGACCATTGAAGAAGGCTCCGAATCCAATGGTGCCACTTGCGTTGGTTTGCGACTGGAGGTCAGCGCTGGGCATCCACTTCTCTAGCAGGAAAAATGACTTTCCGTTCCATGTTGACAGAGTCTGGTGCCACCAGCTCAGTTCGCCCTTGGCTGAGGCTGAGAGGTGCAGCATTCGGTGAGATGACATCTCAGATGTGGCCTTGTCGAGGTCATACAGGCGGCGTAAGAATGTACGGGCGGCCGGAATTGCTCTGGAAGCGAACGAGAGGTGGCCCTGGAGTGAGGCGAGTTCGCGTTTGCGAACGCAACCAGATATAGCAGCAGAATGGCCTATCGTGAAACCATGACACAACCCATGCAACACAAAGTGAGAGAAGGAGTGATCAGAATGACGGTTAAGGAGCCCGGCTAATCGGCTAACATTGATGGGGGTCTCCACAGAATGTTTACGGAGCAGACGCTGAGGTGGCGGACTGTCCCCTGCCACATTTGACTTCTGGGTGCTTCCCGCGGCATTGAAGGCACACGTGGGCACGATAGCAGAATGAGTTGTTGCACTGGTCCCTGTTGAAGTTGCGGCAGATAGGCTTCCCAAGATGGGTTGGCGTGCTCGACTGCGGCGGACCTCCACTCCCAGCGCCGTCGGGTGGAGGCCCTGGTCTAAAGGGACACCGGGCCTGGGCCACTGAGTGCACCAGAGAACAGCGCAAAAATGGCGGGCGACCACGGCTGGTGAATGACGACTGCCACAAATTAGAGTCGATGATAGTCCAGTCGTACGACAGTGGTTGGGAGGCCATGGCGCGCCGGAAACGCCTGTCATAACTTAGCCATGCGTCCACATGATACGAGTTATTTGCATCCAGAATAGTGGCCTGATATGCCAGCAAATCATTTGCCCTATCTGGAGCCGCTGCGACAATTACTCTCGTGTAGACAGTAAACGCCTCGAGCCATGACGCTACATCGTGTACATGCTTTCAGAATTTGAAAGCTGACTGCAGGCAAGGAAACTGGAAAGACAGCAAGCTCTGTTGTGCGCACAGGAAATCTGCGCGTGCGCAGAGCGTGGGCATGTGGTCTATGATACACAGCAGTGTGTAGAGAGAGCAAGATTGTGCACACACGTAAGGAGGGTTGTACAACCCGTTATAAAGGCCAACAGCGAAGCAATGGTACGTGACTGTTAACAACGGTTATCTCCTACGTTAACCGAACATGTAGTCACATGCCGCACAGCTACACCCGTATACATTTTCATACCTAGATATGTCATTACTATAGTCCATTTCAAAAAGATGTACAATCAGGTTTGGGTCTTAAAAAGTATGAAGATAAGGAAATTTTGTTAACTGGTTTGACTGAAAGAGACTAACGGGAAAAGTCTGAAGACAAAATTGACTGTCACCACCAGGACTCGAACCAGGGACCCTCGCGTGTAGCTAGCGATGCTCTAACCACTGAGCTATGGTGTAGTCGTCATCCCAGCAGAGGCCGTTCAACATTTTCTTCAGACTTCGTAACTCACACTTCCTGTGAATCCACACAGGCGGGTGGGACGCAGCCCTCACTGTAACCCACACACTTCACGTACAAACTAGCACGCGGGGAGCCCCAAGTCATAAAATGTTAACTGGTTTGAGGGAAAGAGACAAACGGGAAAAGTCTGAAGAAAAAATTGACTGTCACCACCAGGACTCGAACCAGGGACCCTCGCGTGTAGCTAGCGATGCTCTAACCACTGAGCTATGGTGTAGTCGTCATCCCAGCAGAGGCCGTTCAACATTTTCTTCAGACTTCGTAACTCACACTTCCTGTGAATCCACACAGGCGGGTGGGACGCAGCCCTCACTGTAACCCACACACTTCACGTACAAACTAGCACGCGGGGAGCCCCAAGTCGTAAAATGTTAACTGGTTTGAGGGAAAGAGACAAACGGGAAAAGTCTGAAGAAAAAATTGACTGTCACCACCAGGACTCGAACCAGGGATCTTCGCTTGTTGCCAGCGATGCTCTAACCACTGAGCTATGGTGTAGTCGTCAACCCAGCAGAGGCCGTTCAACATAAGGGAAATTTGGACAACAAAGTACATAGAATGGCTTGTTAGGACACGGCAAATTGTTCTGTGAAAGTTTCGGAACAATTGGACTAGCCGTTAAGGAGTTAGAATTTCAGCCAGGTTTCCGGCCTTTTCCCATGGTTTACAATTTGCCCTGGAAGCCAGTATCGATTTTTTATCAAAACCCACGATTCATCCTTTCCTTTTTGGCCTTGTGGTTATGAATGCTGTCTGCTGACCATGAAGTTAGTTGTGAGTTCAAATCCCAAACTATCTTCAAGTCAAACTTTTTTTCATTGTTTTGTGATCTACAAGACAAATAAAAGAAGGTGGCTGCGGCAAATGACTTGTTGTTGGAGCTTGCGTTTCCTGCCGAACTGACTGACACTTGACTGGCTCACGCCATGTGATTCTGAACACACCCGCAGCACTGAAACACATGTGAGTGAACACGGAAGTCATTGCGCTGTAGCTACGTGTTGTTGAACACAAGTCACAACGGCACATCGATCAATCGATTTCTTTTTTTGAGAATTATTTTAGTATTTCAAGATCGCCAATTTATTTGAATTTTAATGGGAGTCAACGCCGTCTTCTATCAGCTTTCACAGGCGCCTGCTTTTCTCAAGATGTTGTTGAAGTCACACGGATAGCTTTGCCAAGTCATGGCCTTGGGAATGAGTCTGTGTCGATGTCGTTTTCGTCACATGGTGAGAGTGAATTGCATCGCAGCTCAAAGAAACTATTTGAGCACAAAACGAATTGGGACCCATCCCGCTCGTCAACATTTACCACACCTTCGACATGTCCTCTCTGACTCCATATCAATACGAGGAAGAACTCGTTTGTTGTAAACCAGACGTACGTGTACGTACGTAAGTGAGTTGTCATTTTCCTGCTTTCGCGCGGAATATTTCTTCGAGTTCACAGTGAGTTTTTCCAGGCAGCGCTCGAGCGCTCATACGGTAAGACGGCAAACTCCGCGGGCGATCGCCAGGATTGCAAATCTTTTTGAAACGGACTGTAGAGAGGCTAAGATGCACGTTATTTCTGACGTGACGCGAAAGTTCAGCTCGTGTTATTTGGTTCGCTCGTCGAAAAACAACGCCAGTGACCTGCAGCTCACGTCGAAGTTTTGGATTTTTACGCCTAATTTGACGTGAAACTGCGCGCCACGTCGGAGATAATGATTGTGGATCTTTACCTCTCTATTGTCCCGCTTTCAGGTTTGCAAAGGTTCGCCGGTAGGGAGTACCTAACCTCCCTCCCCCAGGAGTGTGCTGCAACTGTCTATAATGAACATCGCCTCTATGCAGTGCTGCGAAGGGAAAACTTCAAATCACGTGACACGGTTCAAAACGTTACGCTGGCAAACAGTGCAACGTGACCGCAAGAGAGTTGAGCCCAAAGCAGGGTTGCGTACAACCGTGTGCCTATCATCCACAGGGTACAAGTGCCGTAATGTCGCGTATTAAAGCCAGGCTTATTCCTGTAGAAGCCGATGCCAGGGCTAGGCTTGCATTCAAACCAGGTATTTCTATTCAAACCAGGTATTTCTATGTGCGTCAACACTAAAACCAAGCTTATGTGCCGACGGTGTATCTTGAAAAACAGGCTTCTATCCAAAACAGGCTTCTATTCAAAACAGGCTTCCATTCCAGATGGGCTTTAAGCCTTTAACACAAGACACCACCGTGTATAATGTGAACGGGTTTGTCCCGTGATGTGAAGTTCTGCCGTCGTAGACCCCACAGCTGGAGTTGCGCACTCTGTATAGGATACTACCCAAGTGTGAGGGTGTTACCTCCCGATTATCATCCCGACTGCGTAGCAGAAGGGATGGTATGAGGGCACGGTATCACCAAGAGTCCATAACCGTAAGAGCGTGAAAGCTCTGTGCATGGGGATCCACGCAGCGGAATTCCAACATTACGTAAAAAATGACGTACACTTTCGTTGGGGTTGTGCTACTCCCTGGTTCCAAGCACAGCGGAATGCGGCGTTTTGCCCTCTGTGCCTCAGCGGCGTGACGTAATGTTGGAATTCCGCCGCGCAGTGGGCTTACAGCAGCCAGACCCCAGTCGCACACTCTTGGGGTTATGGCCTGTTGGTATCGCCCGAGTACGCGGGTCAATGTCCTTCTTATCCCGGGTACATCTACGCATTCTCATGTACGAGTAATGCACTCATGACCTTGTCGGATTTAACCACGCGCATTGACCATGTTGACAGCACATTTAAATCGCAGGTACATCTGCGCATCTTCATGTCCAAGTACGATGAGGAGGGTCGTTGCACCGATCTTCATGGGATTCTACACTTCGACACGTGCAGGAAGAGTGTTGTCCAATGCGTCTTTGCGTTACCACGAATCCACACCTGAATGTGACATAGGATAGGCCACTTTTAACCACGATCCACTTCTTCTTGGAGTCGAACTCGTACCTCCAGTTCTCCACCGTACTTGACTACACCAACACTATCTTACTTAAAAAATTGGTTGTGAGCAACACTGGCTCACACTCAAATCACTGCTTTTCACCAGAAAAATATTTTATTTCAACGTTTCGGTCATGAAAACCATCTTCCTGATGATGGTTATTTTCATGACCGAAACGTTGAAATAAAATATTTTTCTGGTGAAAAGCAGTGATTTGAGTGTGAGCCAGTGTTGCTCACAACCATTTTTTTTACTTATGAAGCTGCGTGATGCGTCCTACAAGATTTTAAATCGTTTTACTATCTTACTGCTACTAGAAAAGAAGGCAGTAATCTTCAGTTGCGCTCGCTGAAATCCAACCCAAAGCGCAAAACTCTCTCTCTCTCTTTCTCTCTCACTCTCTCTCTCTCCCTCTCTCTCAAATTGTCTTTAGATTTCACTCAATGGTGTTATCAGCTTTGGTGATTCGGCACTTGACCTGGAGATTGCCAACAAAACGCGTCTCCAGAGCTCGCTCCCAATCCTTGCTCCCTATTGGACCAACCTGGAGACTGTCGGGCTGGGACAGGTACGCGTCAGTTTTGTTTCACGCTCTTCCAACTTGCAGAGGCTACAGGTGATTCGTTCACAATTAATGCAGCTGGGAAGTGACACGGACTTCTTGCCCACCAAGGCCATTGTGCTGGAATGGAGAGGAATTCAATCGGCCAGCAATGCCTCCAGAGTAAGTTTCATCTCTTTGTTTGTTTGTTTGTTTGTATTCTAGAGTGGGAAGTCCAAAACAGGCCCTAACCTAATAACTAGGGCTCAAACGGTCACGGTTTTACCCCTGACGGTTAACTGCTAAGCTAACGGTCGGTTAGGGAGCATCTCATAAGTTCGCACTTTTTTTGTAAACGTAACGCATTTCGAATAGACTTTACCTCCCCCCACTATTTGAAAGTCTTATCGCACATTTTCAGTGTAGATCTACTGTACTGTACATATCCATGCCATGGTATGCACAATCATGCACTATGTACATGGACATGGACATGATTGTTTTGCTAGTGTCGAAGTGAATGACAATACATACAGTAGTACAGCATCTACTGAGTACAAGTAAGTAATAGTTACATACTTCAGTTCAATCAATGACATGTACACGCACATAAACAGAGTTCCTCCACAACGACTCTACTGTCAAAGCTGGCCAGGTACACGGTTTGATCAGGCTGGTGTGACATTTGACACCTCTGAGTAGCCTGCATGCGTGTTTTGTAGTGTAAGGGTTAGATGTACACCTAAAACACACCCGGTACCCTGCTGTCTGAAGCGGTCTAGCACATGCACAGCACTGTAGCTGTACACATCCAGAAAATGTGCGAACAGTCATTTTTCTATCCGAAATGGGCGCTACCCCCTACCCCCGTTTCGAAATGCGTTACGTTTAGAAACAAAATGCGAACTTATGAGATGCTCCCTTAACCGGTTATAACCTATAAGCCACGGCAATCCTGCGGACTCTTTTTTAACCATATATTTGACTATACTCATTCAAAAAATGTACCCTATTCAGTACAACGCACACTTGTACATTCTCTTGCATGCTCATTCATACATACTCTCACACCAAGAGACCAGATATGACCGAGTTGACAGCCCAGAAATTGCGTACGCGTGCGACAGCCCGCGAAAGTGCACACTTTGCAACGACCTGATACTTGAAAAATTGACTGAAAAGTTACTGCGTAACCGTTATCTTTATCGGTTAACCGTTAATTCTTCGTAACCGGTCTGCAACCGGTTAATCGGACTAATCGTTTGAGCCCTACTAATAACAATGGTCCCACTAGTGAGGGAATGCTGTATATCTGTGCATAAGGATCAGTGAGTGTAACAGCAACTAGTAGGCAAAGAACAAGAAAGAAGAAAAACAACTCAAAACAGGAGTTGCGACTTGCATAGGAAGAAAATAACGGAAAGAGCAGTGCATACAGCATTTATAAAGAGGCTTATTTATCTGGTATTGCAAAAGGCAAGAGCCATTGACTTAAAGCGATTGCGTTTTCTTTCTTGCCTGACCGCAGCGGGGAGCTGGTTCCATAAGATGGTCCCAGCATAGGTAACACGTTTGGCAAGGTATGCAGTTGGGCTGGCTGGGACGATCAGTAAATTGCTGTGCCCACCACGAGTTTGAGTGGAATTACTGCGACTGAAAAAGTTCAATGAGCGAACAACATACTGATGTTAGAGGAGTCATGGAGACAACGCCAGATAAAAACCAGAAGGTGCATGTTGGCGTATGTGGTCAATGTTTGGATGTTCATGCGTGTAAGAATATTGCTTGTGGGTGTCCCCGGAGGTACCCTACAGACTGTGCGTACAGCACGCTTGAAGAGCCCATTAAGCCGTCGACTTTGATACGCCGTGAGAAATGGTAAGTAAGCAGAATCGGCATACATAAAGTGTGATAAAAATAATGAAAGAACGAAAATAGTAGGCTATGCGACATTGAAAAGGCAGGAATGTAGCGTATCGTCTGAGCACGCCAACTTTTGACGCGACGCCCCTTGCGACGTGGTCGACCATGGTGTTCCAGCCCATGTCCGCATCAAAGTGGAGACCTAAATATTTCGCAGAGCGAACAGTTGGCAGAGGCAGTCCATTACATTGCACTTGATTACATTGCTGGCCTCAAGCAAAGGTTCCTGGTTCGAGTCCTGGTGGTCACAGTCAATGTTTTCTTCAGACCTTTCTTGTTTGTATCACTCCCTCAGACCTGTGAATGCTCTCACATACTTTTTTTTGTCTGTTCCTCAACTCTGGCACAGCGTAACAATTTTCAGGTCACTATCGCTGGCGATGTCTGTCAGTCGTACGCCATATTTGACTACTCGGACGGTGGTGTGTTTGCGACGACCCCGCCCGCTCTGGTCGGGACTAGCATGTCACAACATGTGGCCTCCGGTACTGACGGGATCATGGACGCTGTCCAAGGTGAGTGGGGCCAGCATGTGTGGTGTGTGGGTTGAGGTGAATTCTAGCCATTTGAGGACCGCGGACGAGGTTAATTTGTCCAAAAAATGTTTCCCGTATTCTCGAAGACAAATACACTTGTGCTTGTCGTGTCAGTGCACATATCTGTACAGTGCGCAATACACCAGTGTTCTAATTATCGTAACTCTGGTGTCCTTTCTCCGATCATCTCAAATGATAACTCGTTGGGAAGCTGAGAAAATAAGCTTGGTGCTGATGATGGAGTTGATGATGGTGTTGATGTTGCTGGTGGTGCTGGCATCCCCGATGTTTTGCCGCTTCCGCTGTCTGCAGGTCAGAGCGTGCTCTACGCGTTGACTCCCGGCTGCAAGGTGTCTCTTCGCGAGGGGCAGACCTGCACACTTCTCACGCCGCTCAGCAGAGAAGTTGACACCGCTACGGCTCAGTTCATAGAGTGCCCGGGCTCACTCAGCCTTGCTCGTAATGTCTGGCACTTCCAGGACTACAAACGGACAACTCTGGGACCGGCTGCTGAGAATTGCCTGCGTTCTCGTCCTGTGTCGGAGCGTGCTACGGTGAGGCTTAGGCTGTGGTTATCGCACGTGTGTGTGTGTGTGTGTGTGTGTGTGTGTATATGTGCGTGTGTGTGTATGTGTGCGTGTGAGTGTGTGTGTGGTGTGTGCGTGCGTGCGTGTGTGTGTGCGCGTGCGTATGTGTGTGTGTGTGTGTGTGTGTGTGTGTGTGCGCGCGCGCGCGCGCGTACGTGTGTGTGCGTGTGTGTGTGTGTGTGTGTGTGTGTGTGTGTGTGTGTGTGTGTGCATGCACGTGTGTGTGTCTGTGTGTGTCCCTGTTTCTGTGGGGGACGGTTGCAACTTTTTGAGCTCCTCTCTGGTAGTCGTTTTTCGTGTTACTGTGCCACCCCAGGGCGGCTCTGGGTAGAGGGGACGGCTCGATACCGGGACGTTTTGACAGCCAAATTTGTATAGACCCAAACCGATCATCAGCGTTGATTTTTCACTCCAAATATGCTTGTGGAAGGAAACTGGCATGTTGAAGTTTGCTCTGGGGCCAGAGTCAATCGAACTGAGCTACTCCTTTGTGTTGACCCATTGCCTCCAAGTTGCCCAATTTTTCGCTTCAAAAAAGTTCAAATCACAGGTGGCTCCAAACCGGACACGTTTTAGAGTGCACGTCAAATTCACTCTGGGTCTGAAATTAGGTAATTGCTATCGCTCCACGACGGCCAGTACAGAGTAACAATAAGCCTTGTGTGTGCTTCCATTAGTTTTGATTGGTATGCGGTGCTTTATTGGCGAGAGGCGAGCCGCTGTTTACCTGCGACAAGAAGTTGATTTTTCGAAAGTCGTAAAACTCAAGTCGCAGTGCGAAGCAACACGTCAAAAACTCACCTGCTTGATATGGCGCTTCTGGTCATCGCAGAGCCATGACATTTTGGCTCGGAGTATAACACATCGTAGTCTCACTGTGACATATGTTTTCTAATCAAAATACCAAGAGAGAAAGTGAATATTGAGTCCGTTCCGGTTTGCAACCGGTGTCCTATTTGAAACCGTCCCCTCTACCCCAGGGTCGACCCTGCGCTTTAGGTAGCCTGCTGGAGTTCTTGTAGTAATGTGTGGTGATCCCAGGGCAGCGCCTGATGCTGCCAATCGCCACACAACAGGAATTTCCTGTACTCATCGCGGTGTTGCGAGCCCGCGAGTACCTTTCATCCGCAGGAATAAATTTGCAGATAGCCGAACAAAGGGGAACAGCATCCAGCTCGCGTCCTGGAATGTCTGGTCTCTTGTCAATGTTTCAGGCCCTGTCGAGACGGCTTTTGCTCGCGCTGTGAATAGTAAGAATTTGAACAAAATTGCCCGTCATGTAACCGGTGCTTTCGATCTGCTGCTGGATTTAAACGGCACCATTGCGAGCGTGGCAAGTGACCAACAGCGAGGGAGCGTCTTGAGTTCAAGTTCTGCTGTGCGTGCGGCGAGAGATATCGCAGACAGCAGGATCTGCAGCGGCATGAGGCCGGATGTTCTGCCGCGACGCCGTGATGCTACCCCTTTGTTCCCCTCCTCGCGAGGGCAGCTTAGCCGTTTAACGGCAGCTGTTTGTCAAGGTCAAGGTGTGTGTCTGTGTGTGTCTGTGTACATGTCAGAACGTGCCAAGTTTCCACTAATGTGTCAGCACTGCTCTTGGAGATTTCGGCAGTCCAGGGACCTGACCCGGCACCGGCGTGTTTGCTCCTCTCCCTCCTCCCGCAATGGGACCACGTAACCTTTAAGGCAGTGGGTCAACAGGACAGGACCGGACAGGACAGGACATGTCTGTGTGTCTGTGAGCTTAGGCCTGGGCTTTTGCACTGTACGGTGTTAGACGCTATACTACATGTGTTGCTCAGAGACTCCCTTCAGTTAGACTAAAGCTGTGTTCACAACTGGCGCGTGTACGCGTGAAACCACGCGTTTGTGCGTATTTTTGCTGGCTTTTGGGGCGCCATGCGTATGGAAACGCGCCGAAATGGAACTTCCAACATGTTGGAATTTTCAGCGCGTATCAGGCACGTATCAGCGTACATGCCAGTCACTTTGACTGGCGGGGTCAAACAATTAGTACTCGAAGGTGTCGCACGCGCTAAATACGACTCGGATTGCTGTTTTTTGTGAAAGGCCGAGCGCGCGTTTGGGGGCGCATGAACCGCAAGCGTACCGCGTCCACGCGCCAGTTGTGAACACAGCTTTAGACTGGTGTAGAATCCATCAATCCGTAAGTACAAATTCGAAATACAGACTTGTCAGTTTGAGCACTCTGGCAAGGTACGTTCGGGCCTGCCTTAAATCTGGCTTTGGAAAATTCATTTTTCGTTGCTATCAGGTTTGAC